CCTCGGGCTGCCTGGGGGCGGTGGGGAGGCCCGGGTGTGGGGTGTTAGTTGATCGCATCGGTCTGCTGTTAATTCACTCCTGGGGTGGGGTGTGCGAGTTGCAGGTGGCAGCGGTTGTTGATCGGAATTTCGTGTTTCTGCTTTCTGCCAAAGGAGCTCGAACAGATGGCAAAAGAGCAAGATAAAGAGTCGGAGAAACAAGCCTTACTGCGGGAAGTGGAAAACCATAAGAAACAAATGCTCAGGTGGGTTGGGCAGCTGGTGCTGTTTACAGGTCCCCTGTAACCAGAGATAATGTGGCTTCTGTACGGCATCTTTGGATCCTGTTTTGTAACGACAGTCGCTGACATGATGCTGTTTTGCCTAAGACAAAGAGAGGATCAGGGATGGAAAGGGTAGGACTCCTTTCTCCTTTCGTCTCTCCTGTCCTGACTCCCTAATCATGGTCTGGCCCTTTGAGCAGTTGACCATGTAAGTAGATGGCTTGAGGGTCTGTCATTTGGCAGCTGGCACAGTTTTCTTCTTCCCTTGCTCCATAACCGATACACTTAGGAGGAGAAATGACAGGACAGTATATTGTTCTTCTGTGGTGTGCTATAGAGAAAGTCCGTGCACATATCTGGGGTGCTCAGTTACAGTGCTGATTGTTTTGTGAAAATTGTTTTCGCTTGCAAGGCGTTACTGTCATGTTACAACATTGTACTCTTGTGATTTCAGCAATCAGGCAGCTTGGAGAAAGGCAAATCTAGCTTGCAAAATTGCTATCGACAACTCTGAGAAAGATCAACTGCTGCAGGGAAGAGACTCCTTAAGACAAAGGTATTAGGCCATCCCACTGTAGGATCTGAGATTTAAACAGTGTATGCATATTCACTAGTTGTAAATGGAAGTGATGTAATGTTTTTAAGGTACTTAATTCTATTTGAAACACAGCTTTTCTTTTATGAGTGCAGTTACCTTTTGTGGAGTTTTAAACTATTAAGGATTATGATAATTTCAGGTTTTCTTGGCGTCGGTGTGACTAAGTGGAAGAGGGGATGAGTTAGCTTTCATAGTTTTTCTGGACGTCTTTTACATTAATTCGGGTTGTAAACAAGTAATGGATCATTATGCAAGCTGTTTTCACATGTGAAACTGGATGTAAGTGTGTATAATTTCTGTATTGAAAAGTTGGTGTATTTAGTATCATGAAGCAACAAATGGGATACCCAGGATAATAAAATGGTAGTTTGTATCAGTGCGTCCATACCAGCTCATAAAGTTGTACAGTCATGGATGAATAAGCGGTGAAATACGGGCACTCCTGAGATGCTGAGCCACTAGCAGTTGTTTTGGCTCATGACTTTAATATTTTGTGATTTTATTTTTTTTTCTTGTTTAGTGAAGATAGTCTGAATTTTTTGTGCAGTAAAAACTAATTGTGTCTTTTGTACATTGGCAGAGATGTTTGGTGCCAAGCTGTGTTCTGAGTTCCCTGGCAGAAGCATTTTCCCTGCAGTACCCAAAGAGAACATTTTATCCCTTCTGCTTTACTTTTTCCCTTTCTTTTTCAGGAAGACTACAAAGGAAAGTCTGGCAGAGAGTGCAAGTAACATCACGGAGAGTCTGATGGGCATTAGCAGGATGATGTCACAGCAAGTCCAGCAGAGTGAGGAGACCGTACAAACCCTAGGTATAGATGTTATTTGGGTGTTTGGGTATGGATTGAAGCACCTTTTGCCAGTTCTGTTGGGATGAGGAGAGGCAAACTGACATGGTGCAAAGTGGTAGCCTGCTTTGCTGTAGAATGTAGTATGATGATAATTAAAGGACTTTCCAGCAGAGCTCCTCTAACAGTTGGACATAAACAGAAAATAATAATGTCTGTTATGTGGAGCTGTTTGTTGGAGTTCTGTTTCATGATTATGAAAAGAAAAAGCAGGGAGGATGAGGAGCCTTTGTTTTAGTTTCATATAAAAGCAATTGTAAAAGCAATGTGAGTTCACACAGTGCTAACAGTGTGTTTGGTGTTACGCTGTGCTACTGTCCTGGCATGCATTTGGTAATAGCAGAGAAAATAAAAGCATAGGTGCAAGTCCATACACAGAGGAAACTTAGTATGGCTGGAAGACTGTTTTCACCCAGTCTCCAGCTGGGATGACTAAGAGACGAGGAGATCAAGTGACTTGAACTCGAGGTCACTTGCTCTGTCAGCAGTGCATCAGGGACTGTGAAACCAAGATTTCACCCAGTTCTTTGGCTTAGACTCCTAAGACAATAAATCAAGTGACCTGTCAGAACTGGTGATTCATGAAGCATTTAGAAGTTGGATCTGTGTTGCCTGGGCCTCTTACTAGCTGTGCTTTTGGGCAGAAGAGAGAACAGTTTGAAGACGATGATAAATAATGCAACTTTTGCCCTCCTCGTTTTCTGTCCCCATCTGAGGATGGCGGCTGGGCATGGTTTGTTCATGCAAAAGTAGCATGTTTCTTCTCCCATTAAAAAGACAGTTTGGCAGACACTTTTTCACCCTGTTTCTGACTGAACAGCACTTGGAGTTCATCAAGGGAAGAAGTATCAAAGGTCATTTACAAAACCCAGCTTCAAATTCTGAATTAGGAGTTAGAATTTCCTTTTTTCTGAGCTAGTCCTTTCCTAGTATGCAGTGAATATATGCGGCTGTGAAGCAGAAAAGCTCTGCTTTGTCATTAACAATGGAAAACAAGTTTTCTATTTTCACTTGGATCAAAATACCTCTTTAAGATGGGACATAATGGTTTGCAAAATAGTACAGACGCATTTCTAGTATGCTCCTTGTTGTGCACTGGATAACATGCTTAGAGTTTGACCTTTCTTTAATCAATCAGTTCAGTATTGAGTGATATACCAGCATTCACTGTCGTTACAGGGTATGTGTTCTGTAATATAAGAAAAAGGGGACTCCTGGGCTTTTGCTTTCATTTAGTAATTTGAAAGGAGGAAGGCTGAGGAGTTTGGAGCATTTGATTGCTTGCTTGCTTGGTTGTTTGCTTTCTCGCAGGGAAGGAGAAGTTGAAAGGGACCGATGTTCCATCTTGCTGTTTTGGCATATTCTCAAATTCTGTCTTTAGCTGAGACACACTTCCTCCAGTTGACAATCAACACGCTTTTCCTCTAGTTGTTTTTTCTCTTTTTTTATTAGAAAAAACAAACCAAAACTGAAAAGAATTATGTTTGTCAAAAATAACTATTAAAAACTGTTTAAATTGTTTGAGCTGAATAATTAAGGGTCTCTCACTGCTGCATGCTGCTTTTTCACTTTCTGCAACTCCATCTGAATCACACTGATTTACTGCTCTGGCTTGGGGGAACAGTTTCAGTTGTGCAATTAATATATTAAAATATTAACCTGTCCTGCTGCTGCTAGAACTGATGCTGATAGTGATGGTGATTGCTCTCTCTTAAATTGGTGGTTCTAGCACCACTCTTATTTCACTTCAGTGAGCTCTCGGGTAGCACCGACTTTGTGAATAAAAAATGTGAACTAGATTTGATCTGGTAACCTAGAAATTAAAAATTCTGGAACACGATGGAGGGCCTTTAAGCCATTCAGTACTTCCTTTGCTTTGCATTTTTCCTTAGCACATCAGGACTACTGAATTGTGAAAGCATCTGCAAGAACACAGTCTGCATTTGTCTTACCCATAAGTCAGTCTGACCCAGAAGGATCTCACAGGCTCTATCTATATTGCCAAATATTGCATGCTTATATCCTTTGTCATGTATCTTTGAAGCGCAACCAGCTGATTATTTTTTTTTTTTTCTTTCCCCTTAATTTCAGCCAATTCTTCACGAACTATCCTGGAAGCAAATGAAGAATTTAAGTCCATGTCTGGGACAATTCAGTTGGGGCGAAAGCTAATAACAAAGTACAATCGCAGGGAACTGACGGACAAGCTGCTAATCTTTCTCGCCCTTGCTTTATTCCTGGCCACGGTGCTCTATATTTTGAAAAAG